CCTGACCTCCCTTTATATTAATAGAACAATAATGTCATTGTTAGCTAATGAATGTTTCCATGCTGAACAACGGCAACATGACAACGTTTTCATTGGTCCCTCTTCTTTAGAGAAGACCAGGAAATGATGGATACACGGATCGTGTTCAAATCAATAGGCACGCAATGAATCTAAATAATAATGATCACGCCACCAAACACACATTCAGACTAAAGGAACCAGCCTGTTTGGGAAATGTGAGAAGTAGAAAGTTCAGGTATTTGTGTTCAACATGTAAGAAGTAAAAGTAAAAAGTCGTCAGAAAAATAAGTAGTGGAGTAAAGTACTGATACCCGAAAAGTGTACTTAAGTACAGTAACAAAGTATTTGTACTCCAGAGAGAGCGATCGGTCGTAGGCTGTGGGGGCTGAATGTTTCCAAACCTAGAGGAGTATTTCTTATTGCGTGTTTCGCCTGTTGCATAATTATGACTGTGGTGAAACCTGTTATTACTAAGTGAAGTCTGCTTTCTCTGGCACATCTTCAAAATGTGCAAATCTATCATTCAATGTTCCAACCACCAAGGGCCACATGATGACGCCTCTTTAACTGGAGCTTAAAATGAAAACACTGGCTACTTGTGGTTGCGACAAAAGCAAGAAAAAGTCGATTTGTTCCACATTCCTCAGCACCGATCCGTTGCCAAAAGTCCCTGTTTGTTGCTGCTGGTGTTTCAAGGCCTCTCGGTTGAGGCGTGAACGAATGAATAGCTCGCTGTTGTCGATGAAAAATGCTGGATGCTCGGTCTCTAGCTAATATTCACGACTTCACAGAGGAGCAGGAAGTTACCAGGCGGTCTGTCGTAACAAGGGTGGCAGTAAAATGGTTTGTCAGAACCTGCAGAAGTTTCCTGAAACTGACTGTTTGAATCTTGTGTCACACCGACAAGTTTATACCGGCCCATCGTGGGAAAGTCCTTGAGTCTAACAGTGGCTTTGGCTGTGTGTTAAATAAAGATCTTTAAAAAAAGGCATCAATATTAAGCAACGTGACTGAAGCTGAGGGACAATCTGTGTCATTACTCATATTACAAATTCATATCATTGTAAAGTTTACTAACATTAGCCACCATGCTACCGGTCATAATAGACCAGTTTGGGCTGTAGCAGCAAGTGTATAAGGGGGGTTTTGTTGTTTCTATCAACATGTGCACATACTCAAGATTTTAAGTCCACCTCTATTTAAAAATGGGTTTTTAGAGAGTACTCATTTATCTGCTAAGGTGGCAAACGTTTCTGTGTGTTCAGAGTTGAGGAAGTGCACTGTTTACCAATATGTTACTTGCAGTAGGTAGTAAGTCAGTAATATCCAGGATTTGTTTAAATAGTTGAACTCTGTTGTGGACTCTTTTCTCCCTATGTAATGTCCATTATGTTGGGATTGGTATTCACCTATTGATCTACTGTAGAAAGCCAGATGTTATTTTTATCATCTGAGAAATTCCACTCTTATCTTAGTGTTGTCAAAGGTCTTGTTTGCACTTCGACCGCCCTGACGAAACGCCTCCATGAACTGATTATGGTTAGAAAACAGCGTTCAGTTGAGCATGGCTGAGTGTGGGGAAACCTGTCCTTATAGAGTATCGCTGCAGTCCTGTTTAATTCAATCATTCATTCTCTGTCCGTCACGCAGGGAGAGCTTCACCAGGATGTGAGAGGGCACCCGGCACCTCCACCCCCCCCAAAGCTTTCATCAAACGAGAGGAAGCAGCGTTGGGAAGCGGGCCAGATCGACTACATGGGTGACGACTCCTTCGCCAATATCGAACGAAAGCTTGACTCCTTCCTGAAGTAGGGGACCGGGGATGGAGCACGACGGACAGAGAGAGTGTGTGGGTGAAGATGTAAGCACTGCCTCGGCCAATCACAGGGGCTCGAAGGGCAGGTGACTGGATGAATGCCTGTGTGCAACATCCAGCCTCACTCTCTGCATCCTGTCAGTGTGTGTGTGTCAAATTTGAAGATTCCCATGCACTTCCACCATTCATTCTTCCCTCAGATTGATATTTCAGGAAACATGCTCAGCCGCTTTCTCGCAGAGAACTAGATGAGAAGATTGATACCACTCACATGTTTAGATTCTAATTATTAAAGGTCACCTATTATGCAAAATCCACTTTTTCATGTCTTTTCTACATCAACATGTGTCCCCTCTGTGGAAAGAGACTCTGAAAGTTTCAGGAACAAAGATTCTCTCTCTTTTTGTTCTGATCCATTTCTATAAAAACCTGTCTGAAAATTAGCTGATCAGATTTTGGCCACTTTATGATGTCATAACGATGTTTTGGCTTGTGTAACCATTAGCCAATCACCAACCAAGGTAACCCCCTCCCCCCCACCTTATCACCTGAATCTCCTCCTCGAGCACCATTGTGTTCTCTTTGTAACCAAATATCTCTCAGAGGGGCGTGGGGAGGGGCTCCTTATTTTCATCTAAAGTAACAGACAGAGAATCAGCCCTTTAGAAACAGGGCTGAAACAGAGGGGATTATGGGTAATGCTGCAATGATCTGTTTGGAGCCAAACACTTCAGAGACATGTTCTGTATATATCTGAGACCTGTGATATATTGATGAAAAACAGTATAATAGGGGACCTTTAAGCTAATGCTAGGAACCGGCTTCATCTGTGGGCTCAGCACTGTGTGTGCACTTCATTAACTATATCACTCTGTATTCAAACCTTAACGGAGAAAGAAACTGAATTGTTTCTTAAGAATCCCACAGATATATCCGTCTACACGGCAACAAGAAACGCTCACAAGACTTTTATTGCACATTTTGCACATACTTCAACTTCTTATGTTTCTCTAAATGTGTGTAAATATGTCTTATTCTGAAATTGCACAACTGTCGCAAAACAAAATGTCTCCCCGGGATGAATAAATGAACCTAAAACACGTTATCAATCACTACCACGTTGCATTATGTTGGATTGACCCGGCATAACAGTTATTATTCGGTTTATCAGACTCTTTATTGGCTGAAATCAAAGCAGAAAACATCCGTGTTCCCATCGTGGTATATTCTTCTCATCCAACTTATGCAAAGCGAATAAGCGTAAGCGTGAATCTGATAATGGATTCACAGTCTGTGTCTTCCTAACCTGTGGGTTAAGCAACAGCAGAAAAACAAATGTGCAGACAGAGCCTACTGTTGAAGGGAATGTTGATGATTTTGAACTCCTTTCTTGCAATAAGTCTCTTTATCTAACCCACTTTAAGCAGATATGCAGCAACTGGCTACCCCTTTCCCCCCAATCATGTCAATCCCGCTTCAATCCGACAGAGTACATCTTATTCTGAGCCTCTGACACTCACCAGCTCCCTGTGTCTTTAGCTTTGTATCGTCTGGTTGTGTATTTAAAAAAAAGTCCAGTTGTGTTGCATGGCAGCTCAGTAATGAAGTACTTCCACACACATCCTTCAGGGATAGTTTCGTATTTATTTGTGTGGGATTTAACAATAGTGCGCTCCCCACACATCTGTCATCTGTGTTATGTCCAAGGCAGACCCCTCATCGGTATATCATGCCCCATTGTAACCACTTCCTGTCTGTAGTGTTGCCAGCTGCCTTATTGCCACTGTTTACAAAACCTAATTTACTGTAACTGCTGCTAGTAGCACAACACATGGGCAGAGTCCCTCATTTCCTGTTACTGAAACCTCCTTACTTCACTCCAGCTGTGTGCTCTCGAAGAAACCACTCCCAGAAGCTCCGCACATTAATAACATGACTCTCCTCACTCTATTAAACTCCTACAGGAAGCTGGCAAGGTTGAGATAAAAATCAAAATGTGATTTTTTCCAAGTTTGTCAACCTGTTAAATCCCCAATATGCATGAGTGTGGACGCGGAACAAATCGTAATGACTTCAGTAAAAGCAGATCTGTCCTGTTCCCCATCCGGTAACTGTACATCCCTGTTCAAGCGCTAATAAAGAACTGATGGAAAATCACATTTTATCCATAACTCCTGTCTTTTTTCATAATCTATAGAATATTGAATACATTTAGAGAACTGCAGGAATGACAGAAACCATACATCAGGGGTGTCAAACGCAAGGCCCGTGGGCCAAATACGGCCCGCGACCTCATTTTATGTGGCCCGCAAGAGCTTGCAAAGAATATTATATAGAATACAATTGGTGTAATTGTTGAATATTTGCTTTCAATTATTTCAGGGTATATGCAGGAATCCTGAAGTCAAATGTAATACCTTTTAAGACCCTTTTCCATACATTTTAAGACCTCATCGCCACCTCAATTTCCCCATAACGATGTTGTTTAACAACCGGCGTAAATGGGCCTTCGCGCGCTATCAAGCAGTGAGCGTGTGATGTCCTGTTCAGATGTCAAATCCAACGGGATGCCATAAATAAACTACACAGAATCACACTACACACCTACGCAATGATTACATTCAGGCAGACTGTAGAATACAACCTCTTTGGACAATTTATATACTTTTTGAAAACAAGCTACAAAATGTAATACCTTGGAAAATGCCGTTTAATACTTTTTAATAGCCTTCATTTTCGCTAAATTTAGTTATTTATTAAGTTATTACCGGAACTGATAATAATCCTATGCAGAGCCAATAATATAATATAATACATGATTTAATATATATTATATATTTGTATATAGAAGCTAAGAGTGTGCAAAGCTGTCATCAAGGCAAAAGGGGGCTCATTTGAAGAATCTAAAATATAAATTATATTCTGGATTTGTTAACACTTTTTTGTTTACTAGATAATTCCATGTGTTCTTTTATAGTTTTTGGATTTGTTAACACTTTTTTGTTTACTAGATAATTCCATGTGTTCTTTTATAGTTTTGATGTCTTTAGTATTAATCTACAATGTAGACAATTATTTAAATAAATAAAAAACCTTCAAATGAGAAGTTGTGTCCAACCTTTTGACTGGTACTGTATATTTATATAGTGTAGCCATAATGCTAATGTGGCCCTCGATTAAATTGAGTTTGACACCCCTGATCTACACTCTTCTTGTCATCTTTGTAAAACGATATCAGACTGGTAATTGACACAGCCATGACTTCTAGTTAAATTCAGTGTGGCTAAAATGAAAAGCTTTGTTAAAATATGCAAGTGCGCAAAAGTAAAAGTCAGCTTTATTGTCAAAAATTCTACATGTGTTATACATCCAGAAATCTCGAAATATCGTTTCCCACAGTGTGACATGTATACATAAAACAAAACAAAAAGGGCCTAGATAAACGTGGTACACATTAAACAAAACAAAAAGGGCCTAGATAACCGGGGTATACAGTTTTAAAATGTTAATAATATATTTAAAGTGTTCAAAGTGCAGTTTCAGTGCAAGTCAGTTGAAACGATCTTAAGTTGGCGTGACGCTGAAGTCGTGCGACCCTGCTGCTGTAGCTTGTAGTTCATTTATAGCATAACGTTAGCATTTTGCTTCTGGCGACTAGATTTATGATTCAAAAATTATAAAAGTAGGGTTGACATGTGGAGATTATCCGGCTGAACAAAACGGGATCCCTCTCTTAAATGTGTGTCAACCACAGACCTTATTTCGAGCTATTTTCCAAAATCCTATGGAAAAATTGCATTGGTTTTTGACGAAGGAACCGGAAGAAGTTTACATCCGGGTTTTAGGACGCGTCACTGCGGTTCTCTATTGCACAGATTACAGGTACTGAGACAAAGAAATGCAGTTTAGCTTCTAACCAGGAGTGCAAAAAGCAGTAAAGTGAAAAGTAATGTACACAATCTACAGAATAAAATATAGAATTAATTGAATGATGAATAAACAGTGAGGGGTATGAATACACAAGATATTTTCCCGGGTCGCTGAGGATGCTGGTGTTGTTTGTTCGCCGCTCCTCCGCCCCAAATATTGTTCTTTAGTCCAGATCAGAACCTCTCCTGTCTAGCTCTCTACTTTTGAAACGTCAAAAATAGCAGCATCTCTATATCGAATCGACACAGATCTTTGTGTTGTCATCTCCTACCTGCTGGCTCTTTCCTGCTCACCGGTCCCTAGCCCGCTAGCTAGCTAGCATTATCGGACCTAGCAGGCTGCTACCTAGATGCTCCTCGGCTCCCTGAAGTCTGCTGAGCTAACAATTCTGTCTCCACCCCAACTCCACCCTAACTCCACCCTAACTCCGCGGCTCGTGTGGGTCTTCCCATCCCGCTCCGATCAGCCGGCTTCCCCGCTGACATCGTCTCTCCCTGCCGCCTACAGCCGGTGGCTATCAAGCTAGCTAACAAGCTAGTAGGCTAGTCACCCGGCTCCCACTCTGCACCAGGCTGTCAGCCCCTCCTACGATTCTCCTCCGGAAACCACTGGAATCATTCTCCTGATATGCTGTGGATTATCACTCTCCTTTTATCTGGACTCACACCGCTGCTTCTTCCTCACGGTGTCATCCGGCTCCTGGTCTGCTGATTCAATACTGCACACAGGCTCGCCCAGCAAAGAGCTAATAGCTCCTGCATAGCGATCAACTATGCCCACGGGCTCATGCCTAACCGAGGGTAAGACTATAATCGCACGTCAGATTCACCCTTGTAGGATATATATCGGCGCACTGCCTTAGAACTCCGTACTGCATACCATGCGCGACAGTGATAACGAAAGTAAGACCCAATGTCAGAGAGGTCGGCCAAACCGGAGAGACATCTGTGCGCGACAGAGCAGAGGCTCTGGCCGTAATTGGTTCTTATTCCGAGTGCCACGTTCGACCCACACTCCAGATATTCCGCGCGCCAGTCATGGCGCTGGACCAGTCACGCGCGAGTGGACAGAGCCACCACTAACGCTCTATTCTTAAACAACAAAAGAGTTGATATCACACAGGAATCAGAAGGAGCCCAATACCTAGTCGCCATCCGCGGTGTTTGATTATCCCATAGCTGTTATTTTCCTTCTATCTACTAGCCCCCTCAAACCGACACCACCCGCCCCCCTTGTGCGCGAGCGGTTCTTCGCACGTTCATCGTAGCAAATCCTGCTCGGCTCTTATGTACCTACTAATAATAGACGCAAAAAAATTCGCCAAGGCTTTTGCCATGTTTCAGTCATACAGAAAGTCCAGGTTATGTCTTAATGAATTCATCAGAATGTGGCTTT